GGCAAACCACTTTCACCAATAAAATATGTGGCAGGAATGCAAACTAGAGGGTCTTCATATTTAAGATGGCAAGTTAAGGCCTCTTTTACATTGCATCAAAAAAGTATTTTTGCAAGCAGCAATATGATTAAAATTTTCTTAGGATCTGAATGTGAATATAAACAATTGACATAATAATAATAATAATAATAATAATAATGATAACAATAATATCACTAAATTACCTTTTGGAAGAGTTGATTGGTCATTGAGCTCTCATTTGGTTGCCTAACAATCACCTGAGAGTTACACATTAAATTTATTGACTATATAACTAGGAGTGAGTTATAAATGTATCAAATTAAAGCATATTTTAATGCAGTTTTTACCATTAACCATTCCAAGCAGATCAGCAATGTTTGGGCACTTAAAAGAATATGATAATCCTATGGTGTTTCCCATACATGTGTATCTTTAAAAAAAAGTCTACAATTCTTTAGATACATCTACAACAGTTTCCATCACATGTGACTTCTATGTTTTCAAAGGATACAAAGTTTAGAAAACTGCTTGCAGTCCTCGCTAAAGTAGATCAAGAAGAAAGTAAAAGACTGAAATTTTCTGACTGAATTATGTTGCTAAGCAAAACATATTAAGTGTAATCATTTCCCTAAAAACTGAAAAATGCACAACCATAATATTGGGGATGCTCTCTCAAAATAATGCAGAGATCTCACCTCACATGTAACCTCTGTATTTACACATTCAAGTAAGTTCATTTGCAGCCATATTCACTTTAAGGGGTTAGGTTTAAGTGATTAAAATTTTTTTCTTTATTCTTTAGCAGCCATGAGCAAACATTACAATTTCTTAAACTGCTCTGGCGGCTGCTTACAGGCAGCATTCTCACAAATAGTTTCAGTATGACACCTTTTCAGCATCTTTGGGGAATCTGCTCCTAGAACTTCTATTATTCAACTAAAAAACAAAAAAGCCTACACCTGACAGGAAGTGGTAATCTACAGACTGTACAAAAATACATACTTTAGATGTAGACAAAGATTGCACATTAAGACTACTGCAGCTAACCATTGCAAGTAAAAGATTATCTCTGTGGCTTTAATTGTAAAAATAAGTTTCACAGAAAATACACAGAAGTGTTTCTGTACCTGTTTAGGGTTAATATGGTGTGTCTTAGTAGTATACTGGTGTATCTATTGGTTACTGATAAATATTGCATTATAAATTAATAAATTTTGCATTCCAAAAGAAAAATTGTATTTTCTACTGAGTAATTACCTCTTGTGATCCAATTTTATTGCCACACATTTCTCTCTTGAAAATATCCCTGCAATCTGAATTTAACAATCATTAGCTTTTCCTATCACTTATTAGTAAAGCTCTTAAATTTTAGTTTAGTGCCAGGTATGAAATTTTTATTTTTACTATTATGGGAATTATGGAGCAGAGGGAATTCTTATCCAAAATCCAACTCCCTCTTTTCCTGACAAATGCAAGAGTGTGGCTCTTTCTTGCAACCATAATACTTACTAAAGTTTGGAAGAAGCAAATAAAACCAACAACAAAACAAACAAGCAAGTTCATCTAAGTTCTACAAATCTTAAGGAGGATCTGAGAGGATTGAAATTACATGTACAATAACATGTACCTTGGGATCTTCCCATGTTGAATTCATTCTGATTGTTTCTTCATTATCTCCTGTAAAAGATTTAATTGGATCCAAATAAAATGATTACTTTTTAAAATTTTTTGATCCTTGTTCTACAAATCTGGCTTCATTTCAATTTAGCAATAACTCTGAAGAAAATACAATGAAGCATGAAGAAAGGTTTAGTCATAAGAAGTGTTATCAGATGCGAGACCCAATGCTTTATCACATCTCTTGAAACATTGAGAAAAATAGTTAAACCTATCACTCCCAAGATCCAATAACTGATTCTCCCCAATGTCTTTTATACATTTCCTTGTGAAAAACACAAGAGGATTTGGTTTTAACCCTTCAACTCCCATGAGTGACCAAGACAGAATTTCTCCTTTCAATACAATATCAAGCAGACAAGCGATGGGAATAAAGAAAAATACAAATTAGGGTTAATTAGTTGATCCAGTACCAAATTTTCCAAACCAAAATCATAAGAATTTCATGCCATACAATTATGAGAATTACCGATGAGATCCTAGGAGTTAATCAAGTAACACCCTCTCTGATAATTTGGCGTAAATCGAGAGGAAATTCATTTAAGGATCTCAGCTAGATCAATTTGGGTGAGGAAAATATCTTAATAATCATTTACGAGTTTTGCTTAAGTACAATTACGGAAAGAAACTTACAAGATTCGCTAAAAAAATCGTACATCTCTTACCTTCAATATAAACGATAAACACTATTCCTTTCTGTCTAGATTCCAAAATGGCTTCTGGAATACTTCCCGTAAACCACTGCATGTTAATTTTCGAGCTCTTCGCTTTGGTGAATGCGCTTTTCAATCAGAGAAAACCGAAATCATCTGATGAAAACTACACAGTACGTGTCTTTCTCTTTTGGTGCCGAGCAAAGACTTGGTAACCGAGCGATCGGGTCAAAATAATGATCAGTGAAGGGGGAGCTGTAGGAGGGAGGGAGGGAAAGGATATATTTCACAAATGAGTTTCAATTTTTTTTATCCCAATATTTGGGCCAGTAGTTTCCGAGAGACTTAGATAAATTATAAAAATAATTATATTTCAAGCCACAGTATGTAAAAATCACGTAGCTTTTGAGTTCATGTGGACAGTGAATTTGTTTCACTCATCCCTCTCCCCAGAAATGTGAAAGTTTCGCGAATCCAAGATGGCCGCCACTGTTACAAGAAATCCCTGCTTCGTGAGGGGCCTGTCTGCGTTTGTTTGGCAGTGCCGACCACCGAATACTACCTTGAGTTTGTCCAAAACACAGCTGAGATGGAAGGGACACAGTGAATGGCAAAATAGAAAATACAAAAAAGCACACATTGACTTTGCGCGCAGCAAGGAGTTTGGAAAATTATCCCTCGAAATCATCACAGCGGTGCGCGGTAAGATGAAATTAGTCACTCCCTTTCCTGGCAGATAAAAACAGCAAATGATAAAAACATTTTAGGTGATACTAAATGACTGAAGAGTGCGGTTACACACGTATAATGTCAGCGGTCAATGGATCTCAGAGATTAAGAGGTGACTAGCTGTCATATTTAACACCTAATATGACTTCGAATTTATCAACATTTAGGTTCTCCTTATATTTCAATGCATAATTAATGTTACAGGTGGTGAGAATAT